TCAGTGAACAAGTGTCCAAGCTAAAGATACTCATGACATATAATATATATAATAAATCACACATACACACATAATACATGGTTGTTTCTCAGGACAATCCCAATACATTACTGAGAATAAGCATTAATATTAACTGGCTTTACCTAGTTTTCCCTTCTCTCTTACTTAAGAGCACAAATGAAGCTAAAATGCTAGTAAAAAGGTTCTTTCCATTTAAAACTACTCCTAACTTTCTTCCCAGCTCACAAATAATTATCTAGTGTAAAGGTTAATTTTATATGTCAACCTGACTGGGTAGCAAAGTGCCTAGATATTAGGTCAAACATTTTTCTAGGCATGTGAGTCTTTTTCTGGATGCAGTTAACATTGGATTGGCAGCTCGTATCAGACTGCCCTCTCTAATGTGACCCCTCTCATTCAATCATTTGAAGGCCTGCATAGAACAAAAAGGCGGACCCTCCTGCCTGACTGCCTTTAAGGGCGACCTCACTTTATTCCTTGTTTTGGACTAAACATCAACTCTTCCTGGGCCCCATGCCTGCCGGCATTTGGACAGCAGCATTTGGACTATCCATTGGCTATTCTGGTTTTCAGATCTTTACACCAGAAAAGAACTATACCATTGGTTCTTTTGGATCTCCAGCTTGCCAACTATAGACCTTTTGAATTTCAACCTCCACAATCATGAGTCAAATTCTTTATAATAAAGCAGACATGCACACACAGTTCTGTTTCTCTGGAGAACCCTGACAGTCTCCCTATTTAGCACATCAAATTCCTAATAAAAATTAAAAAAAAAATTTACAGTAATAATATATGATGATATCAATAGCAGAGCCAGATTTTCACATAGCTTGATGAATAGTCATTTCATAATATACATTAAAACTTAAACTCTCTATAGATTCATATCGCATAATTTTACTTCCTGGTGAATACATACAACAGATATAAATAAGAATTATAATCGATGACTATTATCCTCAGGATATTGGTTGTAATAAAATTCATAATACAGTCAAATTAGACACAATCAAATATCCAATAGAGCAAGACTAAACAAATTATATCACTTTCAAAGGATACATCATATAATCTATATAATGTAATTAATTAAAATTATATTTTCAAAGATTACTGAATCTAGAGAAATTATAATATAAATTTTTAAAGTTAGGAAAAACACCATGATATAAAATTATCAAGACTAGAAAGATTAAAATATTGACAAAAATTTCCAAATGGGGCAATGATAAATTTATCAAATAAATAAATTTTAGTTTTTCATATTTTCTATAATCACAGCACGTAACCTTCAAAATAAAAAACATGTAATTGAATGCTAAGAAACATTATCAAAAACTGAGTTACTATTAAGTGACTCAGTTAAGAATTTATGTTTGATTATCAATAAGAACTTTTAAAACAAATCTGTAAAAACTACAAGAATGTTTTATAATAAATCATAAAGAGATATGAGCTTTTTTGGCAAAGTAAGTTATTTATTTACTTACTTAATTTTATCTGAAAGGCAGACAAAGATCTTCCATCTGCTGGCAACCCCTTCTACCCCCCAAACCAAATGACTGCAACAGTCGGCACTACGCCAAGCTGAAGCCAGGAGTCAAGAACTCCATCTGGTCTCTCACATGGGTGGCAGGGACCTAAGTGCTCACTCCATAATCTGCTGCCTCCCAGGGTGCACATCAGCAGGAAGCTGGATCAGAAGAGAAGGCAGGACTCAGTCCTAGGATCCCTGCTGACATGGGATGCAGGCAAGAAGGGGCTCAGCTGGCTGTGCCACAATGCTCACTCTGAGATCTGAGCTTTTTGAGTGAAGTCATGGTGAACTGTGTTCTCCTAAATTCATCGGTTGAAGCCATGCCCCCAAATATAATCGTATTTGGAGGCAGGGCTTTCAAAGCAGTAATCGGGGTCAAATAAGGTCATAAGGGGGGAAGGCCCGAATACCATATGCCTAGTGTCATTATAAAACAGGAAAAAACATCAAGAATGTACACACACAGTGAAAAAACCATGGGAGGACACAGTAAAAAGGTGGCCATTTGAAAGCCAAGGAGAGAAGTCTCAGGAAAAATTAAACCTGCCAACATCTTGATCTCCCTTTTCTTTTTTTTTTAATAAAAAAGATTTATGGGGCCAGCGCTGTGGCAGAGCAGGTTAAGCACACTCCTGCAGTGCTGGCATCCCAAATGGGATGTTGAGTCCCAGCTGCTCCACTTCTCATCTAGCCCTCTGCTGATGGCCTGAGAAAGCAGTAGAAGATGGCCCCTGCACTCGTGTGGGAGACCTGGAAGAAGTTCCAGGCTCCTGACTTCAGATCAGCCCAGCTCCAACCATTGTGGCTATTTGGGGAGGGAACCAGCAGATGGAAGACCTCTCTCTCTGTCTCTCCCCTCTCTCTGTAACTCTACCTCTCAAGTAAATAAATAAATCTTTAAAAAAATATTTATTTGAAATGCAGAAAAAACAAGGGAAAGAGAGAGGAAGGGAGAGATCTTGCATCCACTAGTTCATTCATAAATGTCCTCAACACCTGGGGCTAAGGCCAGGCTGAAGCCAAAAGTCAGGAGCTTTTCCAGGTCTCCCACATGGGCATGGGGCCCACAAACTTCGGCCATGTTACTCTGCTTTCCCAGGTGCATTAGCAGGGAGCTGGATCAGAAGCGGAGCTGCCACATGACTCAAACAAGCACCCATATAATGGGCAGCACTGTAGGCATAGGCTTAATTAACCCACTATACCACAGCACCAGACCCATTGTTGGAATTCCAGGTTCTAAAGGGAGAAAATAAATTTCTGTTGTTCAAGCCCAGCTGTGGTATTTTGTTATGGCAATCCTAATAAATTAATACAAGATATAATAAAGTGTTTAAAATTTACTTGGTAAATATTCTTTGTTCTGTAATTTCCTTTATTTTTAGAAAGATGCAAACCAAATATTATATACTTAAAAATATACCACAGTACCATGGTTTAGATGGGTGCAGAAACTATTTCTAAATAAAAATGTTGCTAGCCAGCACTGTTAAAAAGAAAAAAGGAGTAGGATTGGGAACCAATTTTATGGATAGGTTGAAAATCAGCTGCCTGGGCTTATAGTGATTACTGTCTCTATAAATAGGCTCTATGTGGCACCATTTAGCCGAGTGGTTAGATGCCTGTTATGACATCCATATCCTAATGTGCAAGTACTTAAGTTCAAAAACCAGTACTGCTCTGGACTCCTACTTCCTGAGAATACAAACCCTGGAAGGCAGAGGAGATGTCTCAACTGATTGGGTTCCTGCTACTCACATGGGAGACCTGAACTGAGTTCCTGCCTTCTGCCTTTGGCCCCAGCCGCGCACCACTAAAGGCTTCTGGAGAGTTAACCAGCAGACAGAAGCATTCTCTCCCTCTGCCTTTCAAATAAATAGATTTTGAAAAACATTATAAATATACTCCATTAAATAGAATACTTGACATAATGGAAGACATTTTAAATTGTTTTACTTTATTTGGTCACAGTACCTCATAGTCCACAAAACACAGTATGTCCATATGTTCATGTATGTATGTATGTATACATACACATTCATACAAAAACACAAGGGTGCTTCAAAAAGTCTGTGGTAAAATGGAACTAAAAAATTAGATTATTTTGGTGTGAAGCTTTCTGAAATGTATGCATAGCTTTTTCCGTAACATGCATTTGCCATGAACTTTTTGAAGACCCCTCGTATAGCTCAGAAAGCAATTTCAGTTTTACAATGACTACAGGTAGTACGACCACATGTGAGAAGACTCCTTGCCAATTCTTTTGTTCAGCACATATTACATTAATATGTCAGGGCCAGTATTTTGGAACAGCAGTTCATGCTGTCACATGTAACACTGGCATCCCATATGAGCTCTGGTTCAAGTATAGGCTGCTCTACTTCAGATCCAGCTCCCTGCTCATGTGCCTGGGAAAGCAGGGAAAGATGGACCAAGTGCATGGATGGGCCCTTGAAACCAACAAGCAGATCCCAATGGAGTTCCAGACTCCTGGCTTCAGCCTGGACCAGCATTGGCCATTGTAACCATTTGAGGAGTGAACCAGTAGTTGGAAGATTGTTCTCTCTATTGCTCCCTCTCTAACTCTGCCTTTCAAATAAATAATCTAAAAACAACAACAACAACAACAACAACAAATTAATACGTGAGTTTCATCTCATCTAAATTGAAGACACTGAATTTTCAACTACATTTTAAGAAACATGTCCAAACATAGACCTTTTAGCTTTTTGGTTTTTAAAAAAGATTTATTTAGAGGCCAGCACTGTGGTGCACTGCGTTAAGGCCCCGGCCTATAGCAGTGGCATCCAATATGGGCGCTGGTTCGAGTACCAGCTGCTCCACTTCCAATCCAAGTCCCTGGTAATCCAACTCCCTGGGAAAGCAGTGGAGGATAATGGTCCAAGTCCTTGGGCTACTGAACCCACAGGGAGACCAGAAGAAGCTCCTGGATCCTAGCTTTGGATTGGCTCAGCTTCCCACCATTGCAGCCACTTGGGGAGTCAACCAACAGATTAAAGTGCTCTCTCTATCTACCTCTCTGGTAACTCTTTTGAATAAAAAAAAAAAAAAAGATTTATTTATTTGAAAGGCAAAGCAAGACACACAGAGAGAGACAGACAGACAGACAGACAGACAGAAAGAACACTTCCATCTACTGGTTCACTCCCCAAAGCCCACAATGGTCATGGCTGGGCTCAGTTAAGTCAGGAGTCTGGAATTTAATCCAGGTCCCCCACGTGGGTGGCAGGATCCCAACTGCCTTAGCCATCTTTGCTGCCTCCCAGTATTTGCATTAGCATGAAGCTGGAGTCAGGAGCTAGAGCTGGAGCAGGGTAGCATAGCCAGGCACTCCAATATGGAACTTATTGGAATCTTAACCTGCTTCCCAATCACAGGGCTAAACACCTGCCCAACTACTCTGATCTTTCCCAATTACCTTGTCTGGGTCCATCTTCCCTTTGATAAATTCTTGCTTCCAGAACTGTAATGCCTGTTCCAACGTTAAGCCAATGCCCTTCAGGAAGAGACCATACTGCATTCGGCCTCCATGGCGAAGATGGTGATTTTCCCGCAAGGCTTTATGTAACTGACGCATGCAAGGTGGGAAGGATTTGGTAGAAAACTACAAGAAAAAAAAATTTGTTACAAGATCCCCTAAAATATTTGTTATGACTGCAAAATCAATATAATTGGAAAACAAAAGCAAAAACAAAAACAAAAACCATAAAGAAGTATTATTATATTGCTGTGATTATAAATTAAATTTTTCTAAATATTTTTACATTGATTAGATGTCAAAATGATCAGATTGTGGATATACTGGCTTAAATAAAATAAGAAAATTTACTTCACCTGTTACTTTTTAAAAATATTTTCAATTAATTTTTTTCTTTTGAAATAGCTATATATTCATATGCAGTTGTAAGAATAAAGAGACATCATTTATCCAATTTTGCCAAAGAAAATGTGTTGCAAAACTATCGTACATTATCACAACAAAGATAGTGACACTGACACACTCCACTAGTATTAAATGTCCTCTTTTCGATGTGCACTTATTGCTGAATATATTTAATTACATACAATTTTACTAGAGGTATTGGTTCATGCATGTACTACCGCACTCAAGGTGTAAAACAGTTCCACTACGACAAGGATCCCTCAGGCTATTCTTTGAAAACCACCCCCACCTTCCTTCCCACTTCCCCATACCAATGCCCTGACTCCTGACAAATATTCCACCTCTCTAAATTTTGTAATTTCAAAAGTATTCTAAAAATAGAATCATACAGTAGGTAATGTTTGTGGACTGGCTTTTTTGACTCAGCACAATTTCTTCAAGAAAAAAATTCTTGCATCTAAGCTCACTTTTTATTACAAAATATTGTGCCAAGGCTATGGATGGTACAACAATTTGTTTAATCATTTAAAATGTAATTTAATATTTTGCTTGTGGGTTTTTTCCCAATTTGAGGCTATTTCAAATAAAGGTGTTACAAACATCCTCGTATAAGAACATGAAATTTCACTCCCCTGAGATAAATATTCCAAAGTACAAACTTTGAGTAACAGATGAACTTTTAAGATAATGAAAATACAAAGTACAATATAAAATAAGAGAAATGATTATCAAATGGAAAATTCAAATACATTCATTAAGGAAATGAGTATTCAGAAGAAAAACCTTTAGTGTCAAAAATGTAATATCATTGCCCATTTTTAATTCAATGATTTCATTTATTGTCTCATTAGCATTGTGACTTTTTTTTTAAAAAGATGTATTTATTTATTTATGTGAAAGCCAGAGTTACAGAGAGTCAGAGGTAGAGAGAGAGGTCTGGTTCAGTCCCCAGATGGCCGCAATGGCTGGAGCTGTGCCGATCTGGAGCCAGGAGCCAGGAGATTCCTCCGGGTCTCCCACATGGGTGCAGGGGCCAGAGGACTTGGGCCATCTTCTACTGCTTCCCCAGGCCATAGCAGAGAGCTGATGCACATATGGGATGCTGGCACTGCATGTGGTGGCTTTACTCACTATGCCACAGCACTGGCTCTGACTTCTTAAAACAGGGTCCTTAAGACTTACATTCTCACGTCCCCCATCCTCACTGGTTGGCAAAGTTACTTTATAAAAAAGAGGAAGCAGATCCCACTTTGCCTGACTTTGTTGCTCCCTCTTCTGACCATTCAGTTTCTCTTCATCCTCTGAGTAACAACTTCTAAAATCTTCCATCCTCAATCTAGTACATTTAGAATTATATTCTTCCTTGCTAGAACTACTGGAAAGTCTGCCAGTTCATTATCATGGGATCATTTCTGTTCCTTCATACTATTACCTGATTATTTTTTCTTGAACAGTATTTAAGTCCACACACAAAAATTAATATTCTATATCCTTAGCATGAATATGAAACATTCCCAAAATGTCTGGTAACTACTTTTTAATTATACATAACAGAATATGTATTGACTAAGAAAACAAGAAGATTAATAAAATGGGGCCAACACTGTAGCCCAGTGGTTTAAGCCTGTCATGCTGGCATCCCATGTGAGTACCAGTTCAAATCCCGGCTGCTCCACTACCAACCCGGCTCCCCGCAAATGTGCCTGGGAAACCAGAGGAACATGGCCCAAGTACTTAGGGCCCTGCCACCCATATGTAAGACTCAGGTAGAGTTCCAGGGTCCTGGCTTCAGCCTGGCCCAGCCCTGGCCACTGTGGCCATTTGTGGAGTGAACCAGTGGCTGAAAGATTTCCCTCTGTCCTTCCTTCTGTTACTTTTTCAAATAAATAAATAAATATTTTAAAAGAAGATGAATAAAATACAATTTTTTTCCATTAAATAGGACAAGTAAAGGAAAAAGACGCCATAATTATTACACTCACTATTATGCTAAACTCATAAAATAAATTATATAATGAGGGCTTTAACAAGGACATAAATCAAATGCCATGGGAAGGCCGGCGCTGTAGTGCAGTGGGTAAAACCACCGCCTGCAGTGCCAGCATCCCATATGGGCGTGGTTTGAGTCCTGGCTGCTCCACTTCCGATCCAGCTCTCTGCTATGGCCTGGAAAAGCAGTAGAAGATGGCCAAAGTCCTTTGGCCTCTGCACCCGCATGGGAGACCAGGAAGAAGCACCTGGCCCCTGGCTCCAAATTTGTGCAGCTCTGGCCGTTGCAGCCATCTGCGGAGTGTACCAACGGATGGAAGACCCTTCTCAATCTCTGCCTCTCTTTAACGCTGCCTTTCAAATAAATAAATTTTTTTTTTTAAAAAAACGCCATGGGAGCACTGTGATGGTGGAGAAGCAATAACTAGCTTGTTCCTATGGCAATAAGGAATCCTTCCCTACAGCCAGCTGGGTTATTTGCTATTCCCTGATCACATAGTCTTTTTTTTTTTAACCTATTCAGCTTTCTCAAACAGCTGGCATTGCCTGGTACACCCTTCCTACCTGACACAACTAGCTGAGCTGTTCTTTTTTTTTTTTTTCTTTTTCTTTTTTTTTTTTTTTTTTTGACAGCCAGAGTGGATAGTGAGAGAGAGACAGAGAAAGGTCTTCCTTTTGCCATTGGTTCACCCTCCAATGGCCGCCGCGGCCGGCACGCTGCGGCCGGTGCACCGCGCTGATCTGAAGGCAGGAGCCAGGTACTTATCCTGGTCTCCCATGGGGTGCAGGGTCCAAGGACTTGGGCCATCCTCCACTGCACTCCCTGGCCACAGCAGAGAGCTGGCCTGGAAGAGGGGCAACCGGGACAGAATCCGGCGCCCCGACCGGGACTAGAACCCGGTGTGCTGGCGCCGCAAGGCAGAGGATTAGCCTAGTGAGCCACGGCACCAGCCTCTGAGTTGTTCTTTAAAACCCAATTCAGGGGCCAGAATTGTGGCACAGCAGGTTTAGCCACTGCCTACAATGCTGGTATCACTTATTCGTGCACCTGTTCAATCCCCTACAACACTGCTTCAGCTCCAGCTTCCTACTAACATGCCTGGGAATGCAGTAGAAGATCACCCAAAAACTTGGGTGCCTGCAACCCACTTCAGAGGCACTGATTTGGGTTCCAGGCTCCTGGCTTTGGCCTGGCCCAGCACAGGCCATTGGCAGCCATTTGGGAAGTGAATCACTAGTATGGAAGATCTGTCTTCCCCTCTTTCTATCACTCTGCCTTTCAAATGAATAATAATAATAATAATAAAAAGACCCAATTTAGCTTCAGCTTCCTTTGGCTCAATTCTTTGATTACTTTTTACTCATTCAATGACAAATATTTGAATACAGAGTGTATGTACAGCCTTGAGGAAACAGCAGTGAACAAAGAAGTCAAAAATCCTGTCCTCAAAGAGCTTATACATTAATAGGAGGAGACAGACAACACATCTGATCCCAAAAGCTCTGGAAGTAAAACAGAGATATGGCATCAAATGTGAATGAAAGAAGGTACTTTAATCTGGACAGCCAGGGAGGAGATGATATTTCATATGAAGAGATGATATGTCAGCACAGATTTGAATTTTGAAGTTGGATTCCAGCCAAATGACAACCCAGGAAAACTGCTCCCGTGAAGAAAAGGAAAGCAATGTCTCTGAGAAGGAATGAACTTGGGGTGCTAAGAGACAGCATAAGGTCCACGCGGCTACAGCATAGTGAGTGAGCCAGAATAGAGCAGAAAACACAATTAGGATGATGAGTACATATGGCTTTATAGGCCATAAAATGAGCTGAACAGGAAAGAAACCCACTAGTGGGTTTTGACCAGAAGACTAACATGAATGATAAACAAAGAGAACAAGAATGAAGGCAGAAATAATACTCAAGAGGCTCTGATGGTACTCTAAATAAGGGAAATGGGAAAGACAGAGCTCAGGGTGGGCCATAATGAGATGGAAAAATGACTGTGGAAAAGTGAACAAAGAAATTATAAAGCCAGGATATAGGAAGAATTACCAACATGCATTTGTCAGAGACCATGAACAGTAATAGGGGTAGTACTGGTGCAAAATACCATGAGCTAGGGGTTTGGCACTGTGGCGCAGCAGGTTAAAGCTACAGTCTGCAGTGCTGGCATCCCACATGGGCACCAGTTCTACTCCCAGCTGCTCCTCTTCCAATCCAGATCTTTGCTATGGACTGGGAGAGCGGTAGAAGATGACCCAAGTCCCTGGGCCCCTGTACCCATGTAGGAGACCTGGAAGACCCGGAAGAAGCTCCGGGCGTTGTGGCCATTTGGGGAGTGAACCAGTGGATGGAAGACTGATCTCTCTGTCTCTACCTCTCTCTGTAACTATCTCAAATAAATAAAAAATAAATCTTTAAAAAAATACCATGACCTAGGTGCTAAAATCATCAATGAATAAGGGGAGGGCAGCAACAAAGAAGGCATACATTTATCACAAGGGATTTAAATGACCTGTAGCTCTGATAATGGAAAGAAATATTTCAAAGTGGTAACATGGAACAACAAAGACCCTCACCCCATAACTACACTGGGTATGGAGAAGAAAAACAGCCTCTGCTGAAGATGGCCACAGAAGCAGCAGTATCATTAAAGGAGCCAGATTTCAGTTAGAAGAAAAATGGAAAGGGAACGTTTGGAGAGGAGATAGGGCCATCAGGGAATATGGTAATGACCGGCTGTTGTGAGGATGAGGCAATATACAGAGCTAGGATGAGGCAATACAGATACAAATAAAGCTACAACTGTATTACTTAACACAGGGTCTTAGGCACAGACTCATACAATATGATCATCATCACAGCACGTAATATAGTTTAGCACTATTTCAGTAAATTATATTACTCAATTATTATTTACTATGTTGTCTGTGTCTCCCAAGCAAGCCCATGAAGGTAGGGACATTTTCAGTTTTATCCACCTCTGTGTACACAGCACTGCTGGTACATAATTGATGACCTCAGTATATATTCACCAAATGAATTAATGTACTTCTACAGCACTTAAACAGAGTGCTTGTGAATAGGAAAGCCTCTAGCTAGAATTAGGAATAGAATTAACCTCAAACCATTTACATACCATAAAGAAAACCAAAATCACACATGAAAAAGGCAGGAGAGGGCGTGCTGGGATAAAATAACCAAGAAAACCGAAAGAACAAATTTCAAATCAACTGCATAAGAAAAGCAGTCTTATTATTGTTTCTAGACATATTAACTGCCAAGTACTTGATTACATCTTTTCAAATAGGAAAACAGTCTACTTATTCTGGACTCTAAAAACTCCCTGGCTTCTCCCTATCCCATTACCCTTATTATAATTCTTGTTTCCAAGTATTAAAATAATAGTTTACAGTTTTATTTATATGAAAGGCAGAGTGACAGAGATATGGAGGAAGGGAGGGAGGGAGGGAGGTACTTATCAGCTGGTTTAATTCCTAAAATGCCCACAAGAGCCAGGGCTAGGCCAGGAGCCTGATCTCTTGTGTAGGTGGCAAAAACAGAAGTAGATGGAAAATTGTTTGCTACCTTCCCAGGCCCATTATCGAGAAGCTGAATTTGAAACAAAGAAACTGGGAAACAAAATCAGAGCTGCCATATGCAATGTCAATATCCCAAGCAGCAACTTAACAAGTATATCACAATGCCCAACCCAGTATCAGTGTATTTTTAATTTATTAAAAGTAAATTGGGGCCGGCACCGCGGCTCTATAGGCTAATCCTCTGCCTGCAGCGCCAGCACACTGGGTTCTAGTCCCGGTTGGGGCGCCGGATTCTGTCCCGGTTGCCCCTGTTCCTGGCTAGCTCTCTGCTATGGCCTGGGAAAGCAGTAGAAGATGGCCCAAGTCCTTGGGCCCCTGCACCCATGTGGGAGACCCAGAAGAAGCTCATGGCTTGGGATCAACTCAGCTCTGGCCTTTGCAGCCATTTGGGGAATGAACTAGCAGATGGAAGACTTCTCTCTCTGGCTCTACCTCTATCTGTAACTCTGTCTCTCAAATAAATAAAGTAAATTTTTACAAAAGAAAAAAAAAGGATATGGAGCTTACCGAATCAATCTGATCTAAGGAAATCTTCCCAGCATTTCCCTGTGTGTTATAATCTTGGCCAGTGTAGGAATGACTGGAAAAAAAAAAAAAAAAACTATTAAAGGAGAATTGGTAAAGTATGTTTGATCATCTCAAATGAAGTATTTTATTCCAATAAAAATTTAAGTCTCATAATAAAACATCTTATATATAAACATTAGCAGAAACACAGGCAAGTGTTTTAAATATATTTAACAAAATATATTTAAGTAACTTACACAAAATTCATACAATAATATATTGACAGTCTGGCTTTCTTCATTCCTAATCCAGGGAATTACTTTCAATGATTATTCAATTTCAAACCTTTACTATGTATCAACAGCATAGCAACACACCAAAACAGAAACTGGAGATTAAATCAGGAACAATGACCCAGTGGTGAGTGGGTCAAAACTCTACTTTGCAGAGTGAATAGGAGGGCTAAATTGAAAATCACTTGTTAAAGGGCCTGACATACAGTAATCAGTTTATTAAGATAACTAATATACATATTTAACTATATACAGTGAGTAAACAGTCCTCACCTACATCTTCTGATGAGATGTTAACAACCACTCTGAGAGAGGATTTGGGCTCCTGTTTTTGACTTTATTATATTTAATTAAGCATAAAGACTTTTCCAAACTAATGACAATTTAACCCACTGCTTGGTTGGGACACTCATCTTGACTCTCTCTTCATCCATGGTAAAGTGGATTCCTTTCTCTCAGGAAAATCCACAATTTCTTGCCTTTGGCAACAATGGAAATGCTGAAGAGGTGAGTGGCAAGGCTGCTGGCACTGACCTCTTGCACACAAATCACATAAAAAGAGGCAGGAATCTCTCTCTGCTGGTGATCACACCAATTCTTCCCAAGTTAGCAACTCTGACCACCACACACAGGCAACCAGTGTCAAATGCAGAGAAATTAATAATCTTGTCAATCTCCAAATCACAGGGCCTCTCACTTTATAAAGAGAGATCTGGATAGTGAATGATGCCAGTATCATCAGTCACCAGATGAGGGATTCCTTTTGTGCCAACAAAGATCATTTTCACTGTGCACTTGTGCTTGGCCTCCTTGGGTATAACATGATGAACAGCAAAGCAACACTTGGTGTCACAGATCAAACAGAAATTCTCTCCAATCTTGTCAATGCTCCTGACATGCATGAAACCAGCAGGGTGAATTATATCCATTCATCAATCTTAATGAAATGAACTGCTGCATGAAGATTTTTTTTATTTCATTTCCTGTCAGTGCATATTAACGTGTGTTCCTTAGGAAAATGATCAGAGGAAGAAGACATCTTCTCTGCTTGTGGGGACCAGTGGATGGACAAGGAGCAAGTGGTAGATTTACCCAGCATCCTAGGTTTTGGAGTTGCTTCTCGCTTTAGATGCTTCTTGGGACTACAAGCCAAGGCTGTGCCAGGCACAGAAAGAGGCCTGTGAAAATTTCTCTTTATCTGACAAATAAGGAAACTGAGGCTCAGAGGAGTCAGCAACTTGTTAGGATCAGATGAACAAGCAATGCAGTGAGAATTTAAACCTTTGACCCTTAATAACTCCCTGCTTCAGGGCCAGCACAGTGGCACACTAGGTTAATCCTCTGTCTGCGGTGCTGGCATCCCATGTGGTGCCAGGTTCTAGTCCCCATTGCTCCTCTTCCAGTCCAGCTCTCTGCTGTGGCCTGGGAAAGCAGTAGAGGATGGCCTAAGTGTTTGGGCCCCTGCACCTGTGTGGGAGACCAGGAAGAGGCACCTGGCTCCTAGCTTCAGATAGGCACAGTTCCGGCCGTAGTGGCCATTTGGGGAATGAACCAACAGAAGGAAGACCCCTCTCTCTGTCTCTCTCTCTCTAACTCTGTCAAATAAATAAAATAAAAAATAAATAAAAAATAATTCCCTGTTTCTTCACTACACTACTTCATCCTCTCCCCTGTAATAAATATTTCTATATTATTTACAAATTAGTCAATATACTTGATTATTCTTCCTAAATCCATCTACTTTTATAGAATTTTATCTCCCTAATACAACACTGTACACCTACCCAACTTCATAAATACAGATTCAGACATAGTAATGTTTAATGGGGCAAACACAGCAACTAGATTGCATTAAACACACACACACACACACACACACAAACTATAGATTTTGCAAACACCACAACTAAAGGGAAATCCTGGAGTGAAACATCATTTTGATGACAAAGAATTCCAGACTCTTGGCTCTCTACTCAGTACAGATTCCTCTTGCTGAAGCACATATACTCTCAAAATGCTCTGCTGAGAAGTGGTTGTTTCTACAATCAATTTTACTGACTCAACAATGAGTATGCTTTATGAAGCAAAGTCACAAAGTATTTTAGGATGCTGCAGCTATTGGCTAGCAGACCTTCCCCTGCCATAGTCTTTCCTCCATGGGCAAAGAAAGGCCTGAGAATCACAGAGTGATACCCAGGGAGACCAGCATATGAACACCAAAATACGAAGAACTATTCAGCTGAAGGCAGGTTAAGCAGCCAGATTTAGGAAAGCTCTCTGTCTTCCTTCTAGTCACCTAAAAGCAAGACACAGATTTACAAAAATTACAGGTGGCCCATGAAGGAGAACAAAGATCAACCCCAAAGACAACTTCATCCAGAGGCAATATGCAGGCACAAGTTCCACGAATGTGCCTCGGTCTGCCATTTCTTTGCCTTCCTACAAAACGCTTCTCCCAGAGACTCTGAGCTCTTTTCCTATGTCTTATTATTTCTCTAAAAACGTTCTGATCTTTGTTGAAGATGTTATACAACCCAAATCGCCCTCTTTTGAGAACCAGTTATTCCCTGGGTGTCTCCTGTGCATATATGAAATATACATATCAATAAACTTCTGTTTCTCTCTCCTTAATCGGTTTTTTGTCACACGGGTCTATTCCAACTAAGAACCTATGGGGGTATTAAAGAAAACATTATTATTCTTCCTCTATATTCCCATATCCCAAAACATGTCATCTTGCCTCTTGTATTACGTCTCCCTCAAGAAACAACTTCCTAACAATTAAGGTATCATTGAATTCTCTGCATTCCATTAATCCTAATAGCACCATGGCATACAAAACTCAAGTTGTTAAACCAACAGCTGCCATTTAACTTAAATATTTTCCATGTTACTATACAATATAACCAGAGAACCGTTTCACTGAAATCCCAAGAATAAAAATGTATTTCACTTTCCAATATATCTTACAAAAGACCAAAGAGGCAGCACGGGACAATGGGAATAGCAGTAGACCAGGAGTCTGAAAATCTGTTCTTATTTTGCTCTTTATTCAAACTGGGGCAAGTTACTTAATAGTACTAATTTACATTACACATAATAATACCAGGCCTGCCTAATTGACAGAAACACTGTCAATTAAATAAAGCAAATAAAATAAGTAGTCAAACTGTCAATTAGAACCAGTAAAGCATATTCTAGTACACAACCGACTGCAGTCTTGACCAGAAAGCATAGAAATAGAAATAACAGGACAGTTAGACAAGCTGTATGATCCTATAAAGGAGCCATCACCCAGCTGGGAGGTATAGGCCACACCATTACCCTGATAAGCTTCAGTGTCCTATTCTATAAACTTAAAGGTGGTAATTACAATGACATAACATCAGATAGATTAACAAATGTGAAAATCTGCTATAAATACTAAAACGATGCACAAACTCGATTATAGTTATTAAGTAAATGGAGTCAATGACTGAAAAACTTTATGTAGAAGTTGGCTCAGGCCAGATTAATGCAATACAATAAGTACACAGAGAAGATATATAAAAAAGAAGCACACATTTGCCTGAATGATTAGCTGCACATTTGTCATGTGAGTGCTCAGAAAATTCATGGAGGGTAGGTGTTGTAGCACTGCAGGTTAAGTCACCACTTGAGATGTCCATATCCCACACAGGGTGCCTGGCTGCAGTCCTGACTGCTCTGCCTTTCTGATCCATCTTCCTGCTTAGGTGCAAGGGAGACAGCACACAATGGCTCAAGTACTTGGGTTCCTGTCACCTACATGAGAGAAACAGATGGTGTTCCTTGCTTCCAGCTCCTGGCTTCAGTCTGGCCTAGCCCTGGTCATTGCTGGCATTTGGGGAATAAACTACACAATGTAAGATAGCTCACTAGCTCTCTCTCTAACTCTCTTCTACCTGCCCATCACTCCAGCTTTCAAATAAATTAATATATCTTAAAAAAACATGAAAAACACACAAAAAATTGTACCAAAATGTATTTATATTTTAACTATATTTTTCCTGAAACTTTGTGAAGCACCTTTGTATAAGATGATTGTTCCTCAATACTGATAGTATTTATAAATGGACTAAATTCCAAGGGAAAAAGCAAAAAGGGCTGGTGCTGTGGCATAGTGGATAAAGCCACCGCCTGCAGTGCCAACAACCCATATAGGTGCCAGTTCAAGTCCCAGCTGCTCCACTTCTTATCTAGCTCTCTGCTATGGCGTGGGAAAGCAGTAGAAAATGGCCCAAGTCTTCGGGCTCCTGCACCCGTGTGGGAGATCTCCTGGCTTCAGATAGGTGCAGCCCCAGCCATTGCGGACAATTGGGGAGTGAACCAGTGGATGGAAGTCTGGCACCCCCCGCCCCGCCACCACCTCTCCTCTCTCTCTGTAACTATGACTTTCAAGTAAGTAAATAAATATATATAAAAAAAAAAAAGCAAAAAGAGAACAGCAGTAATGGTTGAAGCAAAAGTTTACTGAGCATATATATAATTAGAGAGAATATAAATAATCCAAATAGATATCAAAATTCTAGAAATATATTTAAAGAAAAGATGGTGGCAACCAGCCCAGGATGGGCAAGCATTAAACACACAGAAGGACAATAAAGGAGCGCAGGGGGATGACAGAAATGAAGATGTTAAGCAGCATCAGAATCAGGAATGGGACTTTTCCTCTCTGCTCATCTGTAATCAAGAGTTTACTTATATCATTGCATCTTGGTAGAAGAGTTAAAAAGTAATAAACATTAAAATTAAAAAACAT